AGTGCACAGCTGCGTAGTAGATCATAGCTTGGTGGCGAGTGAAAGCTAGAACAATAGGCCAAGAATGTCTGGAAGGTAAACGGTGAAACCCAAATGAAACATGTAAGCTATGGAAGGGGCAGGTGAAAAGCTTGCTGTAAAGTACGGCTAGATGCAATGCACAAACCAGAAGCAGAGAGGAAAAGAAGCTCTGAAAATGTTTGGCATGTCATTTGCAGGCTGTTTGCATACTTCGACATACGTCAGATTGGTTTTTTACATTTTTCCTATGACAAAGGAAAAATGTAAGCTTACATTTTTGAGGCCCCCCTGGATTTTTAGTAGAATTCAGGGGGGCCTCAAAAATGTAAGCTTACATTTTTGAGGTCCCCCCAAAAAATGTAAGCTTACATTTTTGAGGTCCGAAAACATAGGAAAATGTAAGTTACATTTTTGGACGTCCCCCCCTCTTAATTTGCGGGGATGATCCAACAAACGAATTCATGGCTGCATGTCAACGTAGACTTCGATCTCGAGTGCATTCTGGTGCCAAAGTCTGCCGCAAAGGGTGCAAGGCAAGAGAAAAAAGACGGTAGGAACAAGTGCCACGCTAGTAGTAACAGGTGCCTTACTAGTAGTAACAAGAAGCTAAGAGAAAAAGGAACACTGCCCCAGCTCGCGCCCATCGCCCACGCGGCACGCGTGTTGTGCCACGCCTGCCACGTGAGGCTTTGAGACGGCCATGGCGGACCAAGAACTACACCGGCGACACCTCTTCCGACGCAGCTCTGAGCACCACATGGACGCCGCATCTCGGTGGTGTTTGGGACGTCAAGATTTGCCCTGTGGGTTTGATCCATTTTGATTCTTCAGCCATAACCTTGCAAGTGGCCAGAAACAGCCTCCTGCGGAGGAAGTCTTGGGGGTCGAGGAACACCCGATGTTCTGATTACTTCACTTCCTAATAACGTCATTGGACAGCACCGGAGACTTTAACCAATGTTTGTCTCACAGGGTGGCTTGGAGGGTTTGTGCTTTAGGTACAAAAAGACATGTTGTAACATTTTAACATAACATATATTGATTGCCGTCAATTATAGACTATCAAACTTTTTTAGAATTACACTTTAGCATACTGCGCTATGTTTGTTGCAACATGTTGCGAAGGCTAATTGCCACTCCTTAGCTTCAAATCCTACTGAATTCCTGCTTCCAAGCAACCAGAGATTTCTTCTCAGGCCTCCATCGCCGCGCGTGCGCTGCGTAACCGTCGGAGCATGTGAGACGAAAAAGGGCGCTCGTTCCGGCTCCGCAGCTGCTGAGGCTGCGGTGCGGCAGTCGCACTAATGATTTGGTTCCTAGTAGCGTCTTTGCTCCTAGTAGCGATGCCAGGAGCCCCTAGAAGCTTCAACATGAAAGGGCTGTTGCACAGTTGTCTCCTGAAATGAAGTTGTCTCTAACTCCCACTCATCGGAAAACTTGACTGCTGTAAGTACAGGAGGGGATCTTCTCACTTTGGTGAAACATGTCACTTTGGGATTCAGTTTGGATGTGCGCACGTCACCTATCGCCACAATCAGCAAATACAAGTGGAATTTCGCTTGTCTTGCACTTCCGAGGAGGCACTGAGGAGTTTGCAGCTTTTTCTTTAGTAGGCGGGTTGAAACTTAGCAGCTTCTTGATTTGAGATTCCAGAAAATAAACAAATTTAAATATAAACAAATACTTTTTGGTTGTGGTTGTTGTGTTTTATACACTCTTTCCCCAGCATGAATGACACAGAGAACCTTGGACGTCCCATTCATGCAGTCCAGATTCTGAAGTTAGAGATCTGAGATAATCCCAGGTTTAGTGTCAATGCGTATGGGAGATTATATCCTGACGCACCTTGTTCTAGATCAACCAAAGGAATCCAAGGGAAACCAACCCTCAAAGGCAAATTTTAGGTCAAGCACCAACAACTTGCCCTCCCCCTGAAACAATTGATCGTCAACTTCTCCCAAGTCAAACTGGAACGGAACACGTGGCCACATCTACTGAACCACCACAAGAACATGCTGTCCTTCGATGTCACTCTGTTTGGGACCCTGGGCGCACCAAACGCCCCAGGTCACTGCACCGAAGACGGCTCCCACCGCGTTGCCGCCGGCGGACGCGAGGCGAGACATCAAACACAGGTCGTTAAGCGTTAACATTCGATTGATTTCCACAGCCAAAACCCTGAGACTTATTTCCCCGTGTACAGGCTTGTGAGTTTGGCACACCACCCATGTGGAACATACCCCAGGTCTTCACCGGCACATAAGTTGCTTGTGACTCGTGACATCAGAGTAAATTTTAAATAGAATGATGAGATCCCCAGAAGGTCGGAAAGAGGAACGATCGGGAGCAACAAGAGAAGGATAGAGAAGGAATTTGAGGGCTGTGCCAGAAACCAGATCCTTTGTGGTTAGTGTCGGATGACAAGAAAATAGAAGCCATCACGAAACAGACCGAGACCGCCATATTCTGGGAAACCATCAGGAGACAACCAGGACAACCCATTATGCCATGATGGCAAAGTCCCATGGAATCCTTTTGGGCAAAGTCCTGCGTCGTGGAGTTCATGTAGTGATGAATGTCGTAAGGAACTCCGAATAGTTACAGTATATCCCAAGAGATGTTGATAAACCTCGAGCTTTTAGAGCAAAGCGGTGTGTAGTTATATATAGTTTGAGGAACTGGTCCGGTGAATATCTGCAGGGTTTGGAGGGTTGGGCTCTTGCTCATCAACTTTGTTGGATCAAAACGGCTACAATCCGAACTCCAATAGGGCTGGATGTTTGAAATGGCAGGTTTATTCGCACAAGATGACTTTAAACAGTTTCACTGGGGAACTCACTGCATATACTTTCATGCCCTGGCATCATCCACCGGTTTTCAGGCACACCTGCTTCCTTGCCAGGCACCCTGCCAACGACGTCCACTACCGAAATGTGTGGCACTCACAAGGAGAGAAGCACCTGGTTGGTGCAGCTTGCAACTGCCACAAATGAAGAGTATGAAGACCTTGTTGATTGATCACATGGAATCCCCATTTTGCACCTTGCATTTCTGAGGTGCACAAGGGCAGCCTGCCTGGCAGCGAGTCCATGGAGAACGTGGATCCATGGCCCAAAAAGAAAACGCCCTGGCCCCGTCGGTGGACACCCGATATGAACGCTACTTGTAGCTCCTGGCATTACTTGGGTCCGGAGACCTGCACCGCAACCGCGTGCAAGGCCTCCACCTAGTAGCGTCCTTGCTCCTAGAACCGGATGCCCAGGGGTTCACATTGCCAGGTTCAATCAATCCGATGGCCGACTGGGGCTGGTCCCGCCATCTCACATGCAACATGGACCTTGGATTTGTCGGACCAGATGGGAAGAATATGGGGGATTGGTGAAAAAACAACATGCTGGTTTGACATCCCCAGCAGCTTGTCTGCAGGTGGGACCCCAGTGATGATCTATACTGAGACGGGTAGTAGTGCTGCTGCCCTAGGTTTCCATAACTTCCAGCACCTGACCCTTGAACACTGAAAAAGGATTCAATTCGCGAAAGGTAGCCTCGGCTACCTAAGTCATCCTTGCTCTAGCAAATGATGTAATTAAGGGGGGTAGGATTTAAGTTTTATTTTAGATGTCTGTGGGGGCATTCGACTCCACCCTGCCGCGTTGTGGCTTGGGGCTGAGTATGTGGGGCTCTGATAGCACTCGATCACTACTGCCTTCGGCTTGATCCGTCCTGCCTCCGACCCGCTGCTGCTGCTGGCTGCTGCTGCTGCTGCCCGCTGCTTGCTGCTTGCCGCCTGCTGCTGCCGTTGCTGGGGCTGCTTCTGCTGCTGCTTTGGTGCTGCTACTGCTTTGCTTCTTTGCTGCTGCTTCTGCTTGCTGCTTGCTTCTCTTCAGAATATTCCAAGCTCTAATTACCTTTCGTCCACCTCCAACGCCTCAAGTCATCGGCTATCGTGGGAGCTTGCTGACTCAGGATGTTGTTTCATTGGCATGGTTTGCACTGTGCACAGTCACATCTGGTTGTGGGTGGAAGAGAAATTTACCAGGAGACCCAGTAGCCCAAAAAGATCCAAAAAGGGACCCAAAGCCACGGTGGGCGAATTTCCTGAGATACCGACCCAAGCATCAAAGGCTTCCCTTTGGAAGTCTGTTGGTCCTTCATTTAGGAAGGCAACTTCTTCCCGTCTTTTCAAGAAGGGTATACTATACTGTAATTATATGAGGAAATTGGTTGGCAGAAGCAGAAGATGTGGTAAAGATGTGAAGCAGCAGCGCCAACGAGTCTTGATGCGGCTCATGTTATAAGCGCTTGCAAATCCAAAATCCAAATCTGCAGGCTAGGCGTTTTTTTTGCCATTCCAACCTGGGCCGTGTGAACTGGGTGATCATCTTTTCCAAGCAAGGCTGAGAGGATGCTTCCGTCAGCGGGCTCGAAATGGGAGCCGTCACGGGGTGACGGGCGGGGGTTTGGCTTTGGTTCAAAAGACAAAGTTGGACAAGGATTTTTGAGGGTCCTGATGGATGCAGACAATGAATGATTTAGCTGCAGAAGGATACACAGACGGGTACAGTACCTGCCAAATACCACAACCCAAAAGCATAGCGCAAGCATGACTCTGTGAGTTTCTTTGAAATTAGGAGGCATAGCCCCTGACATGAAACTGTTTTATGATCAACCATTGGGTGGGCCGCCCCTGCATTTCATATAGAGATCAAGGGGGTCGGGAAGCCGCTTCAAACAAAATTGATGCTTCGGGCTTGCAGGAAAAGAATGCAGGGTCTTTGGTGGCTTGCTGTTAGATACTCCTGGATACAATGACAGTGTCGAATAGTTTTGATATGGTCAATGTTGAGGCTTGAGATGTCTCTAGCACCTATGTATGCAAGTCCTTTGATGTTATCTATAATAGACAGAGAAGCATTACTTGCTTCCTTCTAGGTACCGTGAAAGGTTGGCACGAGGTTATTTGTGCTGTTATTCCTACATTCTATATCATGAGTTGAGGGACCCCTCATCGTCTATTCACACAAGTATGCACAGGCCGAAAACAACAACTATTATGTATGCCAGGAATCAAAGATGCACGGTGCCCTCTGACCTTTGCTGTCAACCCCAGATGCAGATGGCAAGGACGCTACTAGGGGCTCCTGGCCTTACTACTAGTAACAAGAAGCTACTAGGGGCTCCTGGCATCGCTACTAGGAGCAAGGACGCTACTAGATGCAGATGTTGCAGGGGAGTGATCGATCCAACGCTCTACTCGATCGCTGGTTCGACCCTTTGGCCCTTTCTGCTCCACTGAGGTTCTGGAGTGACAACATCGCCCCTTGTGTTGGGAGCCGAGCCGCAAGCGCCAACGGAGTCATCACGGAGACCAAGAAGTCCTCAAAGCATCTTAAACCCAAGCACTACTGGGTCACCTGCGTGTCAATGGTATTGCTATACGTACGTTGTCCTAGGCTGTAATGCTGTTGATACCAATGGCCAATGATCAATCATGATTTTATATAGTAGTATTAGTAATTATTAGTAGTATTTATAGTGGTACTGCTGTAGTTGTGTACTGCAAGTCTTTTGCTTGGTCTCCTTACCTTCCTATAAATATCACTGACCAGAACATGGTCAACCGTTTAGCCTTTTATCAAGGAAGCAGCAGGGTCGCATGGAAAAAGGGACGATGAAGCTCACCCCTATTCAATGGTTCCTGCGTGCAGATCCGCTCAGGAATTCAGGAATTCTCGTACGATTATATAATTTCTCTAGAAATCTTTTCAATCTCAAACAATTTACACATGCCAAAGGGGGAGTTCCCTGAAGTGACATGAATTGGCATCCATTTCACTACTGCCGACCTCCCCTTCCCCACAAGACTCAGACTCCAAATGTCTTCAGATCATGGCGGGGAAGACGGTCTTGGTCTCGGGCCACGGCTCTTTGCGGAGCATCTTGAAACTCGTTGAGGCTCAACATGGGCGGAACGGCCGCGTTGGAAGAACCCGAGTCGTTTGTTGATTCTATTCAAGTTGGCATAGCCCCGGCTTAGACAGGTTATGCTGGACCTACAACGCCAACGGAAACAGATGAAGCAACAAATGCCTCACCAAGGGCTTTTGGGTGAGCAGCAGCAGCTGTCTGACATTGTGCAATGTAGGGTTTTGGAAACACCAACTGTTTTGTCACGTACACCAAACAAGCCCCTGCAACTTGCACAGATGTGACGATAATGACTAATTATTCATTTTTTCCA